TTCTACCTCAGAAGTATAAATATTCTAGCAACTTGTGAAACTTTTCAGTTCTCTAAGGAGAATTTCTTGTTTCCTGCAGCAAGACCTTCCTTTTTGAGACTGGTGGGAAAGTTCCTGTGGCAAACACACTGGGTTTAGTTGCATTCTCTTCTCCTTCATTGACTAAGGAGTGGCATATCCTTTTTATGTAATCTTTCTCTTAATGAATGCAGGTTTTGCTCATCTTTTTTTGTTTGTTTCTAAGGAGGCAAGGCAGGAGAACAATGATATGCACTGTATGTGGGGTTTTTTGAGATTAAAGGTGGGGAGCTGAGCTAATTCATGTGGATTATTAGCTGAGCTGATAGTGTGGAATGATAATTCCACGTAAGCTGCTTGAAGGGGAAGTGAAATTGTGAATGTGCTTCAACAAAAACTGGTGGCTCTTTGCAGGAGTCTGAAATAGTCAGGTCAGAAATATGTAATAAAAGGCAAATATTGGAGTGTTCAGAAAACTTGGATCCTTCTCTTCCCTACTGCTGCTTTGGTGTAGTCCTGGTGAAATCAGACAGGGACAGCTATAAAATGTGGAGGAGTAATTAAAATACAGGTAGTTTTACTCTACACACAAGTGATAGTGTGTAGCAGGGATTTGTACATCCTTTATCTGTCTAATTGCTTCTCTATGTACAATTATTTTTTTTCCCATGTTTTGGAGGATGTTAAATAACCAATCAAGGCTTCTATCAAAAAGAAATAAATATTTCATGCTTACTGTGCCAATGGTACAGTGTGTTTCTTCTGCTGTTCCCCAGCATAAGAATTTTTCTGTAAACTTATGAGCCAGTAAGGTTGCTGACTGGAAAACAGGCTGTGGCTGGCAGAGGGTCATGCTAATACTGGCTCAGATAACTTGAGTTCCAGCCTGAGCCACTCGGTGGTTGTGTGAATGTGCTTGTTGGGAAGAAGATGCTTTTTACAAGGTAAGTGTTGAACTGCAGTGTGTTCTCATCCTCATGAGGTGCCATGACACACTGAACACTTCTTGATCCAGTAGATTATGCATGAACAGGTGGTTATTCCTTTTTGGGGTTGTTTTCTTTTGTTACGTTGACTTCATGATGTTTCTGTGCTTTCTGCTGTCTATATTGTGTCAGGAGTAATCTGTACTCCTATTAATATTTGAGATGATCTTTTTAGATACTTTTTCTTTAAATGACACAGTGTTATATCTGAAGAGCATCTGAGTGAAATGAAACTGTCCCTTGCTCACATGTCAAATGCCTCCTGTAACAGAATGCAGGATGTCTGTTTCTAAAAAGCAGGCAGGCTTCCTGCACCTCTTACTTTTGGCAACAGAATGTTCATTCTGTTCTGTGTTTGAAGCCAACCTTGGATTCTGGAATAGCAGTATAAATCTTTAATTCAGTTGACATTCATTTGTTGGATGTAAACTGAGGAACAAGGTTGGTGTGCTTCTCCCTCTTAGATGTTTATCCTTATAATGAATTGTTTTATTTAACTTCATTCCAGTTTCAATGTGGTAAGCAAGACTTAAGCTTTCTTTGATACAACAGGCTCTTCGGTCATATCAGTGGCTCCTTTCTGTAGTTCTTGTAATTAGAACTTCTTTTTCTTGAAAACAGGAATTCAGAACTGTGTGTGGAGTTCCAGCCAAGTTGCTGCTCATGTGCAACAACGTCAGTATTTGTCTGTCTCTGTTGCCAAGGAATCCTTGATGTTCATTTGCCTCTGCCCCCCGCTTTCTTTATTCTTTCCCTTAAGAGAGCTGCATCAGTTTCTAGCTGACCAGGGGGTGACTGTGCTCCCAGAGGACAAGCCCTGACCGTGTGACGGGAGCTGGTATCGGTCCCTGCCTGCAGGAGTCTTGCATGTACACAGCTCCATTTCAGGTGGCTTGTAGTGTGTCATTTTTCACCACTGGTCACTTTTTTGTGTGATGCTGTGTTTCCCTTTTGTTGCACTGCTTTACACTTCTGCCTCATCTAAATCTGCCTATTCTTTTCTGGCAGCTCTGGTTAAAAAAAATACAAAGGAACTCGGTAAAATTTTAGGAGGAGCTAGGAGTTCTTTTCTAGGCCAGTTGTTCCAAGTTTGCAACATCATACTGTATTCTTTTTGAAAGTTTTTCTCATTTTAAGACTTACCACCTTTATTTAACCTCACGTGACTTACTGAGTCCAGATTGCATCTTGTTTGAGTTTCCTTTTTTCAAGGAAGTAACTGATTCATTTTTTAGATGCTGGATTAGTCCAGCATGTCCTAAATCTGCTAACACTTACTGCATTTTTATCCTGCTTTCCTTTTTAACACAACTGAATTCAGAACACTGAGCATGATTATATCTTTTTTTTTCTTATTGAAGTGTTAAATACTGTATTTTTTGTCTCTCTAATAATATGATAGCAATTTAATTTGATTTTATTGAAATGATCATTGCAGTTTTTGGGACAGCTCTAATGTTTTGGTGTGGGCATTTTTTTTTTTTCAGTTTCCCAGCTTCAATGTATGGGCCTCCTCAGGTCAGGCTTTTACCTAGCAAGGTGTTAATGTCTTTGCATTGCCACAAATTACCCTCTCTTTATTCCTGTACCTAGTGACCTTATTTGTACTGGAAGTCGAGGCAGGACCTCCACAAAATGGTGTAGCTTCTTCTGTGTTGGGGTTTTTTAAAAATTATTTATCAGTCCTAAGTGGTTTCACTGCTCTTTTGGGCTGTAGGAAAGGGTTTTGTGGCTAGAGGAAGAGGTAGCACAAGAGATCCTGTTCTGCAAGGTAGAAGTAATAACAAAAAGTATCTCTTCAGTTCCTGAGCAGCAGATATTTTCCAGTAAGGTGCTTGATTTCCATTTACAAAAAAAAAGTTGAAATAAGGTGAAAGATCCCACCAGTTTTGTGCTGCCACTGTTCCAGCACCCGAGTGTAGTTTCCTTGGATGAGTTCCTGGGCTTATTGAGAATGGCAAGGCATGTAACACTTGATATTAAGGTATCTCTAGAACAACATACACAAATGAACTCTCAGAGGGCATTCTTGAATGTGCCCTATATTCAGGAACTTCTCATCTGCAGGAGTACCTGTGAAGATTTTCTTAGACCAGTGGGGTAGGAAAATATTTTCTAAGATACTTCTGTAAAGTCAGTATAATTTTCAAAGACAAAAACAATGTGAGTGGAGGATGCTTTTTGCTCAGTTCTCCACAGACAACTAAAAACTGTTGGTTTTGCTTGTGTAGCTTTATCAGGTGTGGATAACAAAGTGCCTCCTTGTGAAAGCTTGAGGGGACGCTCAGGCTGTTCCCACTTGTAGTTCCAGGAGGTGGAACAAAGCAGCAGCAGAGTGCTGTTGAGAGGCGAAGCTGTTGGCAGCACCAAAATGCTCTATCTTCTGCAGAGGTGCAGGGGTCTCTGTGAGACCTCCTCCCAGCCTGGCAGCTTCCTCCTCCACTCACATTTTTGGCCAAGCTTTTACCAGAAACACAGGAGGGAGGGGATGGCGGGAGTGGTCTCCATTCTGGTTTTTTTCCCACCTCTGACTCTGGGGCCCTTCTCTAGTGAGGAGCTGGAGTCTGTGCCTCTGCTCTTGCTCATTGCCTCTCGAAGGAGCAGCATGGATTGTCAGAACCCTTAACAGCCTCTTTGCCAACCCTGGGTATCAGCTGGGAAACGTCCCAAAATCACTGGTGCCGCCTCTCTGAACCTCTGGGCACATAACCATAGTTCATTGATTTGTACTGGGCTAATGTTTGGAGAGTAGTTGTTGACATGGAAGGAATTTTAGGGCAGCAGGTGGGCAGAGATGCAGTGTAGGGTAAAGAAATACATGTTTATCTGAATATGCTGGGCTTGGTTTGTCAGTGGGTGGCTCAGTTTCTCTTCGCAGTCGTTTACACGGCGAGAGATGTCTGCAGCAAGCTTGGTGTCAGTGTGGGAGCTGTGGAAGCTGGTCCTTGCCACGTGAATACCTGCCTGAGGTGTCTGGAGTGGATTATCGAGGGGGCACTGGTGGCTGTACCAGGAGCTGTCAGTCTTCTGGGAAGGGCAGGCTGGAGGCCAAGTATGCAGTGCACACTGGTTAGACCGATCCCTCAGCCTCCTCTCCTCCAGCCTGAGCAACCCCAGGCCTCTCAGCCTCTCCTGTGGCAGGTGCTCCAGTCCCTCAGTCCTCCTTGTGGCCCTTTGCAGGACTTGGCTCAGTCTGGCACGTGCTGGGAGCCCAGAGGTGGACCCAGCACTCAAGCTGTGTCCTGCTTGGGCTAAGTGGAGGAGCAGGATCACCTGCCTTAGCCTGCTGGCAACACTCCTCCTAAGACAGCTCAGGGTGCTGTTGGCCTCCTTCACTGCAGGGGCACCTTGTTGGCTCATGCTCAGCTTCTGTCCGCAAGTACCCCCAGATCCTTCTGCAGGGCTGCTTTCAGCTGCTCAGCCTCCAGCCAGTCCTGGTGCCTGGGGCCATTCTCCCCAAGGTGCAGGGGTTTGCACTGCCCTGTGATGGACACCCTAGGTTTCCCGTTGGCCCCTTTCCCCAGCCTGTCGAGGTCACTGGGTGCCAGGACAGCCACTCCTCCATGCACAGCCTAGTAAACTCTTCTCTGCCAGTAGCTTTTTTCTGTAGACAAGCTGTTTAGTCCTGTAAGTGCTTTCTGCAGCATGGCAAAACTTGCCTTCTTTACCTCCAGAGTACCATGGCATGGATGGTGTCTGTAGTGATAGAAGTTGCAAGGCTCTTCAAATAACTCTGGCTCTGTATTCAAGGGTCTTTAAAAAGCATAGGAGGACACGTTCTTTACAAAATAAGCTAAAATTTAGAGAGTCTTGAATACGGTGGGGATCTCTGGACAGCAGAGATGAGTTTCAAAATGTAATGCTCATGGTGTTTCATGCTGTGTGTCCTCATGTTCTTTTCTGAAGAGTGTTTATAACATAAAGGCTAACAGCTAAAGCTGTATTCAGGAATTGCACTGCTCACTGGAATTACTGCCACTTGTGCTTTTTCAGACGCTCCTGTTGCGAAAGCTGCTGTTGAAAAGAAACAGAGGGGTTTTTTATAAGAAGAGAATGGGTAAGTTAATATCAGGGTTTTTTTTTTTTTGTTTCCTGTAATGTGAAGCATTTTCTCTTACATGACTAGAGGACGTGTAAGACTTTAAATGTTGATCTTGTCACTGTTTCTCTTGTAGCCTCCAAAAATGGAACTTCCTACAAATTTTTCTAGGAGGATTTTCTCAAGTGACTGTTCATTTGTCAAAGGACTTGTTCAGAGTGTATCTATCTAACAGTAAATTTCACTTGCTCAATATGTATAGTGCTAAAAATGTACATGTTAAAATAGGATGTCTTTAGGCTTTTATAGCACCAAACTTTTAGATAGCAGACAAGAAAATTTCATTGTGTACTGTTTTAAATATTTCTTTGTTAACTAATGTCAACCTGTTGAGTTCTGGCTAAGACATCATAAGGACTGATTTCTGACAAACTACATTGTCTGTGTGGTCTGACTAAACGTCTGAAATTGTTCTCTCTGCCTCTGCAAATGACTGGTTAATGAAACATGACTGGACAGATTCTGGTTTCATCTGTATTTTTTCTGAATGTGGTTTAGCATGTTTGGCACTGGCAGTACTTTTAAAATTGGCAGTAACTACGTGGTAATTCAAGTTTTAACTTCAAATTCACAAGCAATTGATTTGGGTAATGTTGCACCAGGGGAGGTTCCAATTGGATATTAGGAAGAATTTCTTTACTGACAGAGTGGTCAGGCACTGGAACGGGCTGCCCAGGGAGGGGTGGAGTCACCATCCCTGGAGGGGTTCAAAGAATGAGGAGCTGTGGCACTTGAGGCTGTGGTCTAGTGGTTAGGGAGATGTTGGGAGGAAGGTTGGACTTGATCCTAGAGGTCCTTTCCAACCAGAGTGATTCTGTGAGTCTACAGAGACAGTCTGCTCAGTGTGATGGTGTCCTGTAGTGCTGAGCAACAGCCAGTCAGCAGTTCCTGCCCTAGAGAGCATGCTGCCTAAACAGACAAGAAGATGCAAGGTAAGAGGAGCTGTTGGGGCTACAGAGTGAACAGTGCAGCAGTGGGAACAGGCATGTTGTTGTTTCAGCTTTTAAAGATTGCACTATTAGGAGAGAACAAATGTATGAACAAAAAGGGAAGGGGGATAAGGGCTTCTAGAGAAACAGAGCAGAGAGCACATCTGTAGTGAGGGAGGAGGGAACAGAACACACAGTCCAAGCTGCTGTGAGGAGACGTGCCTGATTTTCTTGGCTTGTGCTTTTGCACCTGCCCCATTTTCCACCAGAGGTCACAGCACGTGTGTGTGCTGAGGCTGTATGGTTCTGGGTCTGGCTGGGCAGTGCTCAGGGTGTATCTTATGTCATTTCTTCAGTATGGGAATGCTGACTGATTTTGTTCCTGCCTGTGCTTCAAAAAGTGGTTTTTCCCTGGCAGTCTGTATTTTTAGCTATTAGATATGTATTTAGGTAGTTTGTAGTAAGCACTAACATGATGAGCCTGGCAGTAGCCTTAGGGAAGGAAGCAGTAGCATGTGCAGTCCACTGGAGAATGTCTCAAGCAGAATTTCATCCCTGTGTCGATTTTGGAAATCATGTCTGAATTTAATGGTGAGAAAGGAGAGATGTTGAATTCTTACCTTTTCAAAAATTCTTACTTTAAAACAAATTGCTGAATGGTTCTGAGAAGTCATCTTCAAATATGCAAAATGCTTGTCCTGTTTTGGGTTGTGTTGGATGTTTGGGCCTGCAGACAGCCCTAGCAGAGGGCCGGGGCTGCCCTGGGGCTGTCCTGGGGCTGTCCTGGGGCTGTCCTGGGGCTGTCCTGGGGCTGTGGTCTGTTCCCCGAGCAGATGGGGAGGAGAAGACGTACGGCGGCTGGGGCTGCCCTCAGGCTGTCCCGGGGCTGTCCTGGGGCTGTCCTGGGGCTGCCCTCAGGCTGTGGTCTGTTCCCCGAGCAGATGGGGAGGAGAAGACGTACGGCGGCTGCGAGGGCCCCGACGCCATGTACGTGAAGCTGATCTCCTCCGACGGCCACGAGTTCATTGTGAAGAGGGAGCATGCGTTAACATCAGGGACAATAAAAGCTATGCTGAGTGGACCAGGTAGGTGCAGAGCATTCAGTAGCATCACGTTCTTTGTTTTCCCTTTCGGACAGTGCATCGCTGTTGTGCAGCGAGCGAAAGCTGGAATAAATGATCCGTTTCCAGATCCTGCCTAGTTCCTGTTTCCAGTGGAACAGTCCACCTCTGTGCAGCATTGTGCTAGCAGACATGTAATTGGCCTCTGTCTGGTTTTGGACAGCTAGTGATTGCACAGTGTCATTACTGCTCGTTTCCCTTGGTGTCAGAACTCGAGGGTATTTCCATGGAATATGTAGCTGTCAGGTTCAAAGCACACGGGTTGGTAGTTCTTCACTGACATCTCTGTGGTGGGACTCCTGATGTACTGTACAGGGTCTAGCTGGTGTGCAGTTAATTTTCTGTGTAGCAGGTAATGTAGTTCTTTGGTTTAGATTTGTGACTGAAACAATGCCAATAATAGGCAGTGTTTTAGTTTCTGCTGAGCGCTGTTCACACAGTGTCCAGGCCTTCTCTGTTTCTCTCTTCCCTCCACACAATGAACAGACAGTCTGCTGTACTAGGCGTTGGGAAGGAACACAACCAGGCAGATGACCCCAACTAAGCAAAGAGATCCTGCATGCCATGGAGGGTCATGCTCAGAAGCAAAAAGGGAGAAGGGGATTGGGGATGTCCGTCGCCGTTTGCTTGGAGACTGGCTGGACATCAGTGTGCCCGTGGAAGGCGATGAGTGATTAGTATGGCATCAGTTGTTTTGTTTCCTGTCTTCCACTTGTCTTTTGCATATTAAACAGTTCTTTTTTTATCTCAACCCACAAGTTTTTTTGCTTTTACTCTTTCTTTCCTCTTCCCTTGTCCATGGCAGGGGAAAGTGAGCAAGTGGCCGTGTGGTTTAGGCCACACCATGTTCATAGCATCCTCTGGCAAGAAGTTTCTGAGCTTATGACAAGTTAGCTTGAGAGGCGACCAGATAAGGTCCTTCCCTTCTGTTACTGGATGTTTGAGACTATCTCTGGTTTAAGAAGTGGCTGCACTAATTCGTGAAGACAAAGTGTGGAGGAGAGAACAGGAAGGAGATAACACAATTTTTATTTACTTAGTAATAATTGGTCAAACTGAGCAGTTAAAATTCTCAGCTTCATGTTCTGCTAAACGTCATTGTATTGCTGTGTCTGATCCACTCCGTGTCAGCCTCCCACACGTGTAGGAGTAGTTACAAGACCTGCTCTGAATTTGTTCCACAAACAGTATGAAGGAATAAAAGGTGAAGTAGCCTGCTCAGAGGGCTAGAAAAGTGACTTTCTAAACAAGTCTGCATTCAAGAGTATTTTGCATAAAAACTAGCAAGGTGGAAAGGTGCTCTTGCTCTGTGTTTCAGTAGGTCATAACTGCACAGGTATATTAGCCTTCCCTATTTCAGTGTTGTGACATTGCCAACATGCTAACATTTCTTTTGTTGCTTCCTACTGTTCCTGTGCTAGAATTTGAGCTGGACTGGCTTCAAGTGCATGCGGATATTTAGACACAGATGTGTGCAGACATCTAAATAGCTCTGCTTTGCAATTGGAAGGGGATTCCTATAGAAATAGTGGGAACCAAACATTGTTACACCTCCCATAAATATGGAGCACACTTTAGTGGGTTTTCTTGTATGGTCTTTCAGCTTGAGTTGTTATTCCAAAGAGAATGAGGAAAAGAGGGACAAAGACAGCAGTAGAAAGGCTGTGGAACTAACCACAGGATGACTTCATATTGTCCAAGTTTCATGCTAATACACAAAGTTCATTTCAAGTGTACTTGTGTCTTGAGATTTGAACTCAGGTTCAATTCTTCAGTCTCTAACAGCAGTAAGCCCATACTGTATGTCAGCTTCCCTGCAGTACAGCTGGGGTTCCCTGCCCCTCCTGCCTGCCTGTTTTCACTGGTGGTTATTGCAGCTTTGGGGTTTCAGTCCTCTGGCATATCTGCCTGAAGCTGAGAAACTCAAAGCTAGTGGGACCACAGAGCAGGCTCCTGATCAGTGTGCATATGCAGACATGGAACACCTATAAGCCCTTTTTTTTTCCCCCTTGGATAAGACAGCTAGAAATTTTGATTGATACTTTTTTTCCTTTTTCTTTTTTTTAATGTCACTGTGACCTTTAGAGCTGAGCATACTACAGTTTTAAGAGCATGTCTCAAGGATAATCTCAGAATTAAACCTAGATTTCTGTTGCACCTGTTCAGATTATTGTTAATAGGCCGCAGCCAAAATAAACATTTTGTAATGCAGGGGATCTTGATATCCTTGAGGGTTATGAGTGTGGCACCTCCTGCTTTGGGCTGAAGAACCTAATGTCCAGGAGCAGGGAGTTGGGGGGGTCTGTGCAGGATGTGCTGCGTTGGTGAAGCGGTTCGTTTTGCAGTGAGTGGAGATTCTGACTGCTGCTGCTTTGTCTTCCTACAGGACAGTTTGCCGAGAATGAAACGAATGAGGTGAATTTTAGAGAGATCCCATCCCATGTCCTCTCCAAAGTGTGCATGTACTTCACCTACAAGGTCCGCTACACCAACAGCTCGACGGAGATCCCCGAGTTCCCCATCGCGCCCGAAATTGCACTGGAACTTCTGATGGCTGCAAACTTCTTAGATTGTTAAATAAAATAAATTATAATTAAAAAATGTAAAACTTTTTTTCAGTATTTAATACATGTAGTTCAGTTAGTAATTTTTTTCAGATAGCATGTTGTGTGTGTGCTGTTTAGAACTGTAAAGTTCACTGCAGAGGCAATTGCCTTCAGTCCTTTTGCATATAGCAATCATTCAGTTGAAGTTTGTTTTCTTGCTTACATCAATAAGGACCTTTTCACAAACTGAGACAAATAAATAAATATGCCAATTAGTAGATGGCTATGCCTTATCCTTTAGGTGTGGTAGACCTTTCTTTTAATACAGTGACCATAGACAATACTGGAGTTTAGTCTAATGCTCTCTGAGAGGTAATTATAGTTAAATACAAGTAGCTGTTTAAGGTTTCTAACTTTCTCTTATTGTTAAAGTTTCTAAACATCTGGACTTAATCTCCTTTGTAAGATAGCTGTCCCTTAGCATAGTTACACTAACTAGATTAGAAGTGCCCTCCCTAAGGTTTGAATACTGACAGCAATATTCCATTTAGGCTGAAAGTGGAATACTTAGGAGAATGCTTAAGGCTCTTAATTTAAATCATAGTATAGACATGCGTAAAGTTGTACTTGATATATTTTTCTTCTGTAACCTAACTCCTCCCCATTAGTAATGACAAATATTCAAGTCACTTGTCTGTACAGTAGGACTGTGATCCTACTGACAGTGGCTTTTAAGGGGAAAATAGCTGTTACAATCTGTGTATATTACCTTCTGTATAACACTTAAGGCGACTCTTAATGTACCCTCACTTGACCTGATATGTATTTTGTATGTTTTCAGTTATAGGCTATTTCCATTGTTGTGATTAGTTATGTAAAACCTCTATTTAATTTTTAAAGTAGTAGTCATTTAAATTTTGTAACAGCAACTGAGAAGATGGCAGTTATCCTATCTTTTACCTCTTCCTCGACCTCTCCCTTAGATCCACAAAAAAAGACCCTAAAATCTGGAAGTCTTTTATATTTGAAGGAAAGGGCATTAAGCAGATGTTTAAGGAGCTGTTTTATAAATTTCATAAGTATTTCCAATGTTTTTACAAATATTTTAGGGGAAAAGGATTGGCAAGCCGCTGACATAATAGAGAGTGGAACAAAATCTCTTTGTAGTTCTTGCTGGTAGTTGCCTACATTGTCAGTTTTTTGTTCAAAACAAGCTTCCATAAAGGAAAACAACAAAAAAAAGACTTGAGACAAGAAGTTGCTTTTTCAGCAACTTCAGCTGCAGCCTGAAGAACCCTTCTGCCAAAATCATTTGTAAATGAGACTGAATCTAATGCCTCATAAATGTGATGCAAAACAGTGTAGTTAATATTTCCATCAGCTGCCACTGCTTCAGCTCTGTTTTGATCAAGAAGTGGTTGTGGTCTTTCATGGAAAAATCCCACTGAGATGGTGGGGTGTCTTTATTGACATGTTAACTCATGGTGCATTCAGAGGGCTGAAACTCCCCTCTGAATCTGCTTGCCAACGTAAATACAACTTTGAAGATATTTTTCTGTACAAAAACTAGTAACTTACATGGACTATGCAGCCTGCCCATGAAGTTCTCTTCTGAGAAACTAAATTTTACAGCTGTTGGCTTGAACAACACGTGCTGATTTGTCCGCGTGCTGATAGCTCAGCTGACATTTAATTCACATCACATACTTTGGCACAACTTGCTGTGTTTCGTGTGGGGATGTTTGTGACTGGATTGGTTTTGCACGACAAAGCTGAAGTGCATTGCCAGGCGACTGTCTGAAATCCTACGTTTAAGCACTCTGGTCAGTGCTGTTGTAACTCTTTTTCAAGAGCACTAAAAAGATAAACCAGAGATACCCTGTTATGCTGCTTTTGCTGGAGCCACTAGGAATACCCTAAAAGGTCAAGGAATACTGAAATGGCTATTTTAGTCCCAAATACATTTCAGTCTGAGTGAGTCTTAACTTCTTTGTCCATTTTCAATAGTCTTGAGGTTAATGGCTTGAAGTTAAAAATTGTTTTGTTTAAAACTGAAGTTAAAAGGATGTACTTTTTTTTTAAAGGTTGCCCCTTTTTTTGAAGGTCCCCATCCCCCTTCTAAAACACTCTCCTGTTAAAATACATTGCATTTTATGATTCTGTGCTTCAACAGTAAGGTAAAATAGCTGGTTTGATTTTGAGTAATAATTTTGTTGTTTTTCCTTCACCTCAGTCTACCATACAGTAGCTTTGAACACTCAGGAAGTGCAGCAGTGTCCTAGAGCACACTGTCTGCAAAACCACCTGCTGTTAAAACTAACCACATTTTGGAGGGGGAGGGGGCTGGAGGGAATTAGTGCAATTTCCATAACAGTGACATGGGTATGGTATTATCAGACAATTGGAAACTTACCACGCTTAACCCCTGCGTTCTAAATAAATTTCAAAATTGAAAATTTTTAAACCTGTGTTTCTGTTGATTTATGACTTCTTGCAAGTAGTTGTACATATTTCATGGCTATGTAGTAAGGAGATTGCTAATATAATTAGTATTTGGGTAATAGGTTATAATAATGCGTGAAACTGCGTGTATAACATTAACAGGATGTTTAGTAGTTCTGAAGAGTTTTATAGATTTAAAATGTTTAAGTATCTTTTTCGTCTCTGAATTACAAGTATGCACGATTCTCAGGAACAGCAGTGGATGGTACTCCTAAAGGGCCTTGAAGAGGATGTTTGTAAGACTTCAGGTGTCCCATAATACTAATCTTTACTTGGTAAGCTGGTCCTGTGTCCAATGACTTAAATTTTAATCTGAACCACTGATTTAGCCACAAAAACTTCCAGGTTCTTTATTAACTGTAAGCAATGAGAAAAGTCATACTAGGTTATGTTTTTTCATCATTTTGAGTACGTATAAACCTCTGGTGGTCTGCAACATGAAATAGGCCACGCACCTGAAAGGGTCAGAGCTCTGTTCCACACAACAGGCATTTCTTTCTGGTTTTGCAGTGGAATAAAGGAGGAGGATTCACCATTCTGCTCAACAGCTGTGTTGAGCCCAGTGTCTAAGAGGCGTTTCCACACAGTAAGTGTGGAAAATCGTTTGCTTCTTTCTGTGTTTTGCCACTTTGCATTGTATTTGACAGGAATAAGTTGCAGAAGGGGCTGTTTCTTTTTTTCACCCTTTCTTGGATTTACTCGTCCCATTGAAAGGGGTTTCCCAACACCTGCCTGTATCTGTTGGTTTATGCGATAAAGCGGACAAGGAACTCAGTGGGTCAGGAAAATTATCTTTTCCATCCATGTTTTGTGCTCCTAGTATTATTTATTTTGCTAAGTCTCAAATGGAGTTTTCAAGATGTTAATCATTTAATGTTTTGTAGCCTCACTTGTGTGAGGGTGACATGGAAAATTCAGTTAAAATTGTCCCTGAAATATGTACTGCATTTTAGATCGATGGAAGTAATAACTCGAGAGGTTTTAAATACATTAAAATCTTACAGTGCTAATGTTTTATAGCTATACAGAGCTAAAGTTACTTGTTTTCAGGCTAGTTTTGTGAGATAATTTTGGGGGAAATGCAGGCATGGATTAACGGCAACTCTTTCTTTATTTGTTCCAAGCTTCTTTCCTCAACCGAAAATTACTTTTATATTAAAACCAAATACTGTTAATTCCTTTAAAGTTAATTCAAATTTAAAACTGCCTTTTCAGAGTAAAATTCACAGCTAAGGCTTTTGTTTCCATTAAAAAAAAAAATAGTGTTGTTATCCTATTTGCGCTCAGTAATAGTAAACCTTTATCCAAAACTGCCACTGCACAAAACTGTAAGTGAAGTGTAATTCATGCCAAAAACACTCAGCTGAAATAGAGATGAAACAGGTGCTTAATTAGTTACAAATTATCAATTAATTGTTAGTTAATTACAAATTACCTATTAGTATCTTCCTCATTGTTTATGAAATCAGAGTTGCTTCTGTGTATTCCTAAAATAAAATGAACTAGCTATTCATACACCACTTTGGTTTACCTGAGAAGCCTCCAGATCGCAGCCTTTAGAGGTAAAATAAAATTACTAAATAACAATTACATTTGAACGTTGCAGGTACTGTCACTGTGCAGTGTCTGAACCCTTTGATTTTATAATAACCTGTGTACATGGGCTCTAGCAATGGGTGCTTTTGATGTGGAAGAACTTTTAATAATTACATAACCTCCCATTTTTTAATGCACGTATCTATTTAATTGAAGTCCTACACAAGCCTCATTATTTTAATTTTTTTACAGGTTTTATCTTTATAGGTATTTATCTGAACAGCATTTAAAAGAGTTAACTGGTGCCAAAAACCATGGCTTGACGATTATTACTAATTGGTACTTGGAGCATATTACTACACCAGGCAATTCCAGTCTTCTCCCTGGCCACATGTCCCACTTCTAGTGTCTTGCCTCACACTAAACGATACTGTTAAAGAAAGCAGGCATGTTTTCAGATGCACAACCCTTCTAGAGGTCTGAAATTAAAGAAGCAGATTTTAAAGGTAAATAACAGAGAACAATTATTCAGTAATTTAATTGCATGTGTATCAGTTAAACCATTTCTGAAGGACAGATCAAGTGCCGCTGATGGAGCAGGGGCATCCCAATGTGATTCTCCAGCATCATCAGAAAGTGGATGTGTGAAGGGACAGAGAACAGAATGAATGAGCAGTGAGGGGATGGAGATTGTAATGGCCTATAAAATCAGTGTCTCAAATAAATCATTAGTTTTACACATCCACTAGGATTATGAATGTTATAGATTTGCCTTTGGAAAGGCATTTTGTAGCTTTATCTTGAGGATCCCGTAGGTCTGAAACACCAGAGCTGGAATAACTGCTTTATGGAGAGTGTTTCTGCAGATTGGGTCATTTACTGATCGCACGCAGGTCGCTGGCGCCGAGCGCGGCGTTTATCGTCACCTGCAGCTACCACGGAGCCGTCTGACGCACAGGACAGAGGGTGTTCCCAATCCAGAGCTGCTCCCAGTTGAAACACGCCCGGGCTCATCCGGGCGCGC